GGGGCCCCGGCCGCTCACCCATGGCGCTGCTGCTGCCCGGCCGAGCCGCAGAGAGAAAGACCCAGCATGCACCGCGGCGCCTACAAGTCGCTGGGAGGACCCCGCGTGAGGCGGCCTGGCCGCGCCTGATGGAAAACGCGCCTCTAATGCACAGAAGGGGCCAGTATCCGGCACACCTGTCAGTGGGAGTCGTTGTCATGGAAACGGCAACTTCCAGAAGGCATCGCGCAGCCTCCTTGCCTGTGCCTTAGAGAGAAAGACCCAGCATGCACCGCGGCGCCTACAAGTCGCTGGGAGGACCCCGCGTGAGGCGGCCTGGCCGCGCCTGATGGAAAACGCGCCTCTAATGCACAGAAGGGGCCAGTATCCGGCACACCTGTCAGTGGGAGTCGTTGTCATGGAAACGGCAACTTCCAGAAGGCATCGCGCAGCCTCCTTGCCTGTGCCTTTCCCCTCCCCGCTGTGACGTGGGCTCAGCTACCCCGTGAGGTGTCCGCCCTCCCCTTGACCGCCCCCAGCTGCGGGCCAACGTGTCCTTGCTCCCTCCCACCGCGGCCCGCTGCCCGCCCCCTGCGCGCCCGTTGGTGTAAGCACGAGGCTGCCGGGTACCTCGAGTTCCTGTCGCAGGAGTTGTGGACCCCGGAAATTAGAGGTGGCTCATTGACACTCCCAGCAGTAAACATTGAGCAGCCATTCGCTCTCCCACGTGTGCCACGTTTCCTAAACTGTCTCCCCACCCACAAGGGAAAATTACTTTTTCCACCTGAAACCGAGGTTCTCAATATTCCCATGTCCAGGAGCTGGGTGTTCTAGAAAAACATGAGACTAATGTCTAGTATTTCAGTAACTGCTACCATGAGCAGAGTCGCAGAGTCACAACTTTTGGCCCTATAGCAACAATACTGAGCAGACGATGATTCAAGAAAAACAGTCCACGCACCCCCTTGCAGCTAAGTCAGTTAATTTTCCCTTGAAGAAATATGTATTAACTTTCTCTTCTTTGCTTTTTCAAACTGCTCAATGAGTTCATATTTACTAGACTATGTTGAGAGTGAGCAGAGTTGAACTGGGCAGGTGCTTGCCTGCAGCTAGCACCTTCCTGTAGCTGTAACAGGTGAAAGGTCCCTACAAACCACATGCTTGGGGCAGACAGATTACCCCCTGAAAGGCTATTACAGCTGGAGAGTGAGGCATACAGGGTTGTTGCATCCACAAACCCTCCCCAATCCCACTTCAGGATCGCTCACTATAGTCCTCTTACTTCACCCTGTACGATGGCAGGCTTTCCCACTGGCTACGTCTAGACTGGCCCCTTCTCCGGAAGAGGCATGCAAAGCAGGCAAGTCAGAATAGGATAAGAGATCCTCCGGAAAAGGGCTTTATTCCGGAGGATCACGCCAGTCTAGACACTGTTTTCTGGCTTTTCCCCAAGCCGGAAAAAAACCGGCAGCCATGTTTATTTAAATCCCACGGGAGATATTTAAATCCCCCCCGGATTTCCCTATTCTGACTTGCCTGCTTTGCATGCCTCTTCCGGAGAAGGGGCCAGTCTAGACGTAGCCAGTGGGAAAGCCTGCCATCGTACAGGGTGAAGTAAGAGGAACATATAGTTATCACAATGGTAGAAAACACATCCATACTGTTAAATTACCTAGATGGAGGAAGGATGCTGGTGCAAGTGGTACCTTACCCAGCAAGGAAGTCCAAGCAGAAAGAATTAAATTTATCTTGAACAGGCCAGCAATCCTATAAAGATACCCTTATCTGTGCTTGCCCTTTCTAGATTCTTTTGAGTGTATAACATTCATGGAGAGGGACGGCAGAAGGAGAATGTAATACTGTACATTTAACTAAATAGCTCATTTTTCTGACAAACTAATGGGAGCAGAATTATTTCTTCTGCTGTCACACTTAGTCAAAGCTACTTTAGTTAACAATGTAAGTCTTTGGAGATTTGTAGATACAAGCCATAAAAACAGAGAAAGCTGCCTAATCAAGGCACCCTCTTTTTCCTATTTTATAAAGGGCACTGTCCAATTAAGAGCTAAATAGATTAGCTTGAGATAAGCTGCCTTGCCCTCAATCGAGGGGTGGAAATGTCTCCACTTACATTTGGCTCCCATTAATATAAGTGCCTTTCTACTTCTGATTTAGTAACACCCAAGTGGGTTAGTCAAAGTCAATATAACTGGATAGACAGTTTCAGTACAGTATAGACATAACATTGCTTATGCTGTTACTGGCTTTCAGTAGCTGTTCCAATATGCCTAGACTGATAATATAATTGATGCAAATTCTCCTGGTAATGGATATCCAGCAGAACCACCTATGCCCACGCACACAGTTTTATAACTGTGGTGGCGATATACAGACATAAATAAAGTCAACATAATTTTGTAATGCAGACACAGCTTGAGTAAATATATTAGGTCTAATCCACTTTCTGCATTTATACAGGGATATTTTAAATCAAGAGTAAATAAAGTCAATTTAATTTGGAGAATTGTTTCACGCTTTCAGGCACTAGCAAAATATTTAAAGTGTTTCAAAAACAAGCTTTAAAATAAAATCAGTTTTAAATCCCTGTGTTCTGTTCCCTCCTCACTGGTTTGTGAGAAGACTACACCAGAAGAAAATACAGTTAAAGTGAAAATGACTATTCCTTAATTGCTTTCAATACACAAAAGTAAACAAGATGAAATAATAATCTTTCAGTTTTAAATGCATTCTCTAGCAAATGATTTGACCTGAAAGTGCCCTTTGTCTTAACAGTTTAAAAAAGACTTAATAAAACTTAATACCCAACATTATTAATTTTTAAGCGAATCTTAAAAACCTCTGAAACAGAATTATGCTTGTCTGATCCAAACACCAAATAAAAATTGACCAGAACACGTGCGCCAACATTTAATTCCATGGAGGACTTGAAAAACTGCAACATTTATCAAACTGAAGTTTATTAGTAATTCAGGTGGCATCACAAATTTATGATCGTGGTCTCTCTTTCTTGCCTTTGTACAAGGCTAAGAGGGAAACATTGGCTACTTTGACAACCTTGAAGCGAACACCAGGAATGTCACCAACAGCGTGACCTTTCCGACCAAAGCCAGCAACCAGAACTTCATCATTTTCCTAGAATGAAAGAAAGGAAGGAAAACTGAACATTTTTCAGTCAAATGAACCCAAACAGAAAAACAAATTACATTGACTGAACCAACCCTTTACATTAAAAGACATCCCTTTACATCTCGTCTGTGTCTAGACTGGCCACTTTTACCAGAAAAGCAGCTGCTTTTCCGGAAAAACTTGCCAGCTGTCTACACTGGCCGCTTGAATTTCCGCAAAAGCACTGATGATCTCATGTAAGATTGTCAGTGCTTTTGCGGAAATACTATGCTGCTCCCGTTCGGGCAAAAGTCTTTTTGCGACAAACTTTTGCGCAAAAGGGCCAGTGTAGACAGCAGAGATTTGTTTTCCGCAAAAAAGCCCTGATTGCGAAAATGGCGATCGGGGCTTTTTTGCGGAAAAGCGCGTCTCGATTGGCCACGGACGCTTTTCCGCAAAAAGTGCTTTTGCGGAAAAGCGTCCTGCCAATCTAGACGCGCTTTTCCGAAAATTCTTTAATGGAAAACTTTTCCGTTAAAAGCATTTCCAGAAAGTCATGCAAGTGTAGACGTAGCCCTCATGTTTTGATCAACTGATTTGACAATAATATTAAAAATATTACTAAGCAGACAGTAATAGTAATTTCTTTCAGATGACCAAATGACCTCGACAGTTGGGGACAAATAAGTAACTCAGAGAGGTATGACATGGAGCCAATTCACAACAAATTTTTAGGGATTCATTATATTTACCTCAATGAAGTTCAAGCAACCATCATTAGGAACAAAAGCTGTTATCTTCTTGCCGTTCTTGATCAACTGCACTCTGACACATTTCCTGATGGCAGAATTGGGCTGTTTGGCCTCTACACCACTGAAAGGAAAAAATTAACTGCTGTAACTGAAAGTAGCCATTTGAAGACAAACTGTATAGTGATCACTAAACTAACTTAAATCTATAAACTTCCTTGCAGTTGCTGGAGTAGAGTGGCACAAAAGAAGCTGTTTCTTTTATAAATGCAACAGAGCTGTTACTAAGAGCTGGTTACGAATACGCACCGCTACCCGTTTTTCCTTCCATATCTAATTCAACTGCCACATTCAGGAATAATCATAAACGAAAGTGCCGCTTCTAATTTTTCATTTATTTTACCAACAAAACATTTTAACAATTATTTTAGCCAAAATTGTTAAAGATGCAATTTATCTTAAAACAACTTTTAATCTTCTGAATTCTGTTTTTTGTGCAATCTCATGAGGCCAAATGTCCCTCTTTAAAGCAACAACAAAACAAAGAACACTGCACCTTTATCTGGTAATATAACCAAACAGTCTAAGGAGCTGGATTAAGCCTCCCATTTCTTGGACAAGGGAAACAGTTCAGAGGAGAGTAGGGATGATAAGAGTACAGCAGAGTAACCATTTAACTGATAACCTAATGCTTATCAGTTAAGAGTCTGTCACACTCAACTGGCTCACAGGGAGGCACAGCAGGGAAGCCACCTTCCCAGAGCCTGGTGGACAAGGGCTGAATGACAAGGAGAAAATTTCACTGTGGCAGGGAAGATGGCTCAACTCCCAGAGAGGTGACTTTACTGTGGTAGCAAAGCCTCCTCCCCAGAAGCTGGGCTCCCAGGGAGGAGCTAAACTAAACTTCATACTACAAAGCCCACAGCGTAAGTAACTGGGTAACCACTGAAATTTTCATCAGTTATATGGTTACCTTATTACACGATTTTTAACATCCCTAGAAGAGAGCAATAAAAAATGATTTAGAAAACCTGACCTATGAGCAACAGTGAAAAATTGAAAATGTTTAGTATTAAGAAAAGTGCAGGACAAACCCGGTAGCAGTCTTAATATAACGAGTGATTAATTGCTCTCCATAGCCCATGAAGGTAGGACTAGATATAGTGGGCTTAATCTACCATAAAAGAGTTTTAGATTAACTATCAGGTGTCTGTCTCCCTCCCCTTCCTCCCCCCAACTAGAAGGATAATTAAAGCACAGGAACAGGCATCCCAGATGTATTAAGAACTTTCATTCATTGGAAGTTTTAAAAGAACAGATTAGATAAACACCTGTCAGGAATGTTATTGGTGTATTTTGTCTTGCCTCAGCACAGGGGGCTGGACTATAAAATCTCTCCAGATCCCTTTTCAGCCTTATATTTCTATGCTTGGATTAGGGATGTTAAAGATTGGTTAATTCAATAGTCGAGTAACCTCATGAATTCTTATTGGTTACTCGACTATTCTATAGTCCCTTAGGGCAAGGCCAAGCAGCCAGTATGCTCCCACCCCACTTTTGAGGAGCCCCCTGATACTTTGTGCTGCTGCCTCCCCATCAGAGGCAGCAGTGCAGGGTGCCAGGTGGGAGCTGGCCCACAAGGGGAACCAGGGTAGGGGTGGGGCGGATACCTCCTTGACCCACCACCACCTGGAACTGAGCTGGGCAGCCTGCCCACCTGGCTCCTAATACACTTCAAATGCAGAGCTGCAGTGAGGGTAGGTTCCAGACCTAGCACAAGCCAGAACTGAGCTAGGCTACTGGCCAGCCTGCTAAAAAATGTTCTGGCAGGGGGAGAAGGGGAAATGCACATAGTCTATAGCAGTGTTTCTCAACCAATGGTACGCGTATGCTTACCCTTAGGGATACGCAAGAGAAGTCTGGAGAGTGCCTCAACACAAGTAAAATTTGGCAAAAAAGTCAGGGATTTTGCCCTGCAAAGAGGATTGGGGAGGGGACAGCGGCACATGCCTGTCAAATTGAATGTTTGGAGCCACACGCCCAGACGTTAACAGCTGCTCTGCACACACGCCCCAACACTGGTGGGAAAATGCATGGCTGTGGCAGCTCCGGTGAGACCCA